GGGGGGTCTCCCATCCACGTACTCACCAGGGCCGACCCTGCTTAGCTTCCGAGATCTGACAAGCTCAGGCTACCCTGGGCTATCCAGGTCAGGTTAACGTGCCTTGCTGACACCATTTCTAGCCAGGTCCGGCACCAAATCTGGCCCTTCAAGGGCAACGAGCAAATCCCAGCTTGAGGACACACCTGTCAACTGGGCAGTCGCCCATCCCATCTCCCCAAGTTGGGGTTGCTACGCAGAGGCAGGCAAGGGCAAACCGCCTCTGCCCATCTCTTGCCTTGTCCTGGACGGCCCGGGTGAGCCCGATCTCATCAGATCTTGGCCGCTAAGCTGGTCAAGCCCAGGTAAGTACTTGGATGGGAGACCTCCAAGGAAGCCCAGGGTCGCTACGCAGAGGCAGGCAGTGGCAAAACCACCTCTGAATGTCTCCTTGCCTTGAAAGACCTACCGGGTCACCCTAAGTCGGCTGCGGCTTCTTGACAGGCAGCCCTTTTAAACACACACACAGATGGGAATCGGGCTCCCAGTTCATATATCTCGGGAAGAAGGCATTCCAGGGAAAGGAAATGTTCAGCGTCACGGGCACTAGAAACGTGGTTTGTCTCACGAGAAAGGGAAGGTTCTCAAATGACCGAATGGGGCGTGGTGCGGCACATTCCGCACCTGAGAGCAGAGTCAAAGGCCCGAAATGTTTTCAAAAATCCCAAAATCGGTACCCCAATGCATACTTTTCCTCCGGGCCCACCCCCGTCAATCATCCACTGACCTCTGTCCTCCTTAGGGGTGTCTTGTAGGTCGGCGGGTTCCGGCCTGTCTTCCAGCTTGAAAAACCAAGGAGGAAAAAAAATGTTAGAAAGCAAACTTGGACTTACAACAGCAAAGAGCTCAGGCATGGCTCTTGGGAAGAGGAAGAAGAAGAGACTGGATTTATACCCCGCCCTTCACTAACAGAAGGAGTCTCAAAGCGGCTTACAATCTCCTTCCCCCCCCCTCCCCACAACAGGCACCCTGTGAGGTAGGTGGGGCTGAGAGCGCTCTTTGAGAACTGCCCTTGAGAGAACAGCTCTGAGAGAACTTGTGACTGACCGAAGGTCACGCCAGCAGCTGCATGTGGATGGACCACTCAGGTCCATGGGAATGGAATTTTTGTGTAATGATATCCGACATTTAATTTGAATCAGGGATAAAGATTTAACTTCACCCTTACTACCTACAGGGAGCTCGTCGTGCGGAAAAGCCTCCAGAAATATGACTTCATCTATACGGGCCTTTCAGTCAGACCAGGATATGGTAGACCCGGGTTCAGATCACCGCTCATGCCATGGAAGCTCCCTGGGCGACCTCATGCCACTCACAGGGTCTCAGCCTGACCTACTTCGCAGGGTTGTTGTGAGGATAAAATGGAGGAGAGAAGAATGACATAATCTCTTTGTGTGAGAAAGCCAGGGAATAAATGAAGTGAAGCAAAAAAATTAACTGAACAATCTGTACTATGAAGTGGCGTGGTGCGGAATTTCACCCACACATGCCCTGTTCTCTCTGCTCGTGGACAGAATCAGCCAAGGTAATGTGCCCCTCCCCCTTTCTATCTACGGCTTTGTTGCTGGAGAAGGAAGAGGAGGAGGAGGAGGAAGAAGAAGAAGAGGAGGAGGAGATTGGATTTACATCCTGTCCCTTCACTACCCGGGTCTCAGAGCGGTTTACAATCTCCTTCCCCTCCCCACAACAGACACCCTGGGAGGTAGATGGGGCTGAGAGAGCTCTCTTGAGAGCTGCTTGTGAGAGAACTTGTGACTGACACAAGGCCACACCAGCAGCTGCACGTGGAGGAGTGGGGAATCAAACCCGGTTCTCCCAGATTAGAGTCCACATACTCCTAACGAATACACCAGACTGGCTCTGAAGGGTGCTCAGGTATCGTCAGAGCTGGCCCCGGCTTTGTATGAAGACCTACCCCCTGGAACGGGCGCCAAGGCCGCCTCTCTGGGACTTTGGGACCCGCATCATCCTCCGGTGCTCGGCTGGGCCTGAGGCTGTCTGGGTATTTGAGCATCGAGTCCCGCAGCGTTTGCCTCTTTTCACGTGAGTGGTTGGCAGATGGTGGCGCCTCTATGCCAGGGAACTCTGTGGGCAGAGATGGAAAAATCAGTGCCAGCTCTCCTGCACGTGGGCCTCCCACCTCCCCCTCTTGGAGAAGGAGTCCAGCTCCCCACCCACCCCCAAAAGGCCTTTGTTTGGGTCTCTGCCGTGACCAGTTCCAGCTTCACTGATGCCCCTTGAACAACGGTATTATCTATTTAACTTTCCAAACCGAGCCTGCTAAGCGGTTGGGGTGGCCTTTGCAAGATCACAGCTCCTCCGTTATGTGAATCCGGATCCCTCAAGCTGATGGAGGGATCCAGTAGATTCAGATGGATGCCCAAGTTTTAAAGAGAGAAAGTCATCAATCCACCATTCAGCCATAAAACCTGACATTACAATACGTCTTTTAAAGTCTTACTACATTTAGGAACCAACCTAGCAGTTCGAAAGCCAGAAATTGCAAGTAGATAAATAGGTACCCCTTCGGTGGGAAGGTAACAGTGTTCTGTGCGCCTTGGTGTTTAGTCATGCCAGCCACATGACCACAGAAACATCTTCGGAGAGCGCTGGCTCTTCGGCTTGGAAACGGAGATGAGCACCGCAACCCTAGAGTCAGATTCGACTGGCTTTCGAGCAAGGGAACCTTTACCTTTTATATTTAGGAATCCAATTTATGCAAAGAGGGCCATTTTTACACTGTGTTTCCTGGACTTGGCATCACTGTGGATTGAACAGCAAGGGACACCGTACGGAATTTGTACGGATGTTTGGAATGTGGCAGCTACGTTCACACTCTCCAGTGTTCCCATAAAGCAGCCTCACAGTTCCCGGGGAACAAAATATGTGGTACCGACCAACGCTCCCTCTAGGCTGTGGAGTCTTGTGAGCAAAAATTATACTTTATGAGATACCGGTATGAAAGCTGTGAGAGATCCGTTGGGCTACCGCATAAATTAGTTTGCTCCGCAGGCCAGCCTTCCTGAGCTAAGATGAAAATGTGTGAGCTGGAGGCTAAAAAACTGTGAGCTAGCTCGCACTAACTCAGCTTAGAGGGAACACTGCCACCAAGGAAGTCCAGGGTCACTAGGCAGAGGCAGGCAAGGGGAAACAACCTCTGCACGTCTCTTGCTTTAACCTGGATGGCCCAGGCTAGCCCGATCACATCAGATCTCGGAAACGAAGAAGAAGAAGAGGAGGAGGAGGAGGAGATTGGATTTATACCCCGTCCTTCACTACCCAAAGGAGTCTCAGAGCGGCTCACGAACTCCTTTCCCTTCCCCTCCCCACAACAGACACCCTGTGAGGTAGAAGAAGTAGAAGAAGAGATTGGATTTATACCCCGCCCTTCACTACCCAAAGGTGTCTCAGAGCGGCTTACAAACTCCTTTCCCTTCCCCTCCCCACAACAGACACCCTGGGAGCAATGTTCCCTCTAAGCTGTGGAGCATTGTGAGCAAAAATTCCACTTTGTGAGCTACTGGCACTAAAGTTGTGAGCGAGCAATTTGGCTACTGCATAAATTCATTTGCTCTGGAGCCATTCTTCTTGAGCTAAGACAAAAATGTGTGAGCTGGAGGCTAAAAAACGGTGAGCTAGCTCACACTAACTCAGCTTAGAGGGAACAGTGCCTGGGAGATAGGTGGGGCTGAGAGACCTCTGACAGAAACTGCTCTTTTTTCAAGAACAGCTCTTATCAGAACTACGGCTTGCCCAAGGTCATCCAGCCAGGTGCCAGTGGAGGAGTGGAGCAAGTGGAGGAGTGGGGAATCAAACCCAGTTCTCCCGGATTAGAGTCCGCGCACTTAACCAAGCAGTGTTGGCACTGGTTAGTAAATTGGATGGGAGACGACCAAGGAATCCCAGGGCTCTGCTACGCAGAGGGTCTCTGGCCTTGGAAACCCTGCAGGGTCGCCGTCATTCTCTACACACCACGCTTTGACTCGATTTGGTTCAGCA